AATCGAAAATAATTCTTATTGAAATTATAGTTTACAAAGACCCACGCATTTACGTATTCCAAAGTATCTCAAAGAGTTGGGAATTATCGCTATATGTATACGTAGTACAAGTGATGGATTTTCCGATTTTAATGAGTCATTGTAGCCATAATGGCGAGAGTTAAGCCTCACAAGAATTTAAATTCATAACAAAGTAAATTTATTTTCATGTTTTTCTGAATTTTGGGTGCCTGAAAGAATTTTATGTTAATTACTGAACAAATTATCTTTTTTTTTGAAATCGTAGGGTTTTTTTATTAATTCATAAAATATCTAAATTGCACAAAGTTAGCTAATTTGGTAAGTGGTTATTTTGCTACTTATTACAATGCTACCAAGAATTTATCGCCCTTGATAACGAAAATTTACTTGCTTGATACATAATAAATTGATGACTATGTTCCTTGAAAGCGGATATGGTGGATATGGTGGCGTACAGCCTTTATAAGCACATTCCGGCGCCATTTTCACGGTAAGCATTCCCTGGCTGAGCAATCATTATACGGTCTTCGATGTCTATCAAGGGTTTCAATTTCGTACTGTAAAAACCAAATGTATATGCGATTTTGTGAGTCAAATAAAAAGATGGAGTAATCAACATAAATACACCAATTCCTACCGTTTTAATTGGCTGGAACCTTCCTTGTGCTTGACCCGCTTGAAGGCTTGCACGACAACACTATCGTGAATATGTCATTAGACGAATGAATAGAAATTAACTTACAAAATAATACTGAACTGATATGCGACGCAATGGGCGCCTATTCATATCCTTCCTATGATTCAATGACCAAAGTTTGAGTACTATCATCTCCTCTGACCGATTTGGGGCTAAGCAGAACAAAATTTATTTTCTGGAGCATATATGGAAGACTGGGATCGGGAAACTCACTAACTACGGTTGGACAGGGATTACCCTATAAATAAAGATGCTTAGGTATTTGTATTTTGTGATATGCGTCAATAATAGTTCTCGCATCTTCTCCACTTTACGTGAAATAAATGATGATTGCTGCTCTGTAATCTCAGAGGAAGCCGGTGAGATAATATCTCCATCACTTTTGTTAATTCTCGCTCTAAACACTGACTTTTAGTGGGCTCAATTTCATCAGGCTCCTCAGACATATAAATGTTATGATTTGGACACTCTCTATTTAATCTTTCTTGTGAAATTGTTCTTTAGTTTCTATATTAGGATTCGATGAGTTTTTTTGCCGATCGTCACGTTTCGTGACGGAAATTACTTGACATTTTTCTTTTTTCTTTAAAGTATCTGAAATTAAGTTCTGGAATCGGTCTTCAGCTGATTCACATTGAAGCTTCTTTTCCCTATTGCATTGCTTTACCTCTCCACTAACTCTTTCCTTATTTTTCAGATCCAGAAATTCATCGATCTCTTTATTTTCTGACGAGACGAGTGTGCATGAATATTGGAAGAAATATTGAATGATGCTTCGTGGAGAATAGAATCTTCTAATACGTGTACGCTATCACTTTGTGTCTGTTTCTGTTCCAATTTCGTGACCTTGTCTCTGAGTTCAGCATTTTCAGCAATGAGATTACTGGTGTCTGTTTTATTTTTCTTTTCTAGCTCCTCGAATCTGACATGTTCAAAAGTTTATTAAAAATCACATGTCTCTGATCGTCACTATTCGTGACGGTTTTTGCCAAGAAAAATCCTCGAACTGTGATTTTCTTTCGCACCGGCATGAGAGACAAGTCTCATTATCCTACAATAGTGCCGAATATAACAAATATCGCGTCGATTTATCCGTAAGACAT